TCCAATCTCAAGGAAGCTTATGGGCTTCTGTTTTGCCTTGGAACCCTGCCACCATCACATGGACAAGGCTAGCCTACTTGGAAGATGAGGGACTACATGGAACAGAGCCCAGCTACCGCAGTCAGGGCCGTCCTAAACCAGCTGACCCCCAAACATGTGAGAGAGCCCAGCTGGGGTCAGCAGGGCTGCACCCCTGCCCCACGCTGACCACAGATGCCCGAGTGAACCTAGCTAAGACCAAAACACCACCAAGCTGACATGTAGGCTCACAGACAATAATAAAGGCTTATTATAGTTGAAAGCAGGGGTTGGAAACGACAGACCACAGGCCGGCTGCCTGTTTTTGTAAATAAAGTTTTATTGGAACACAGCTATGCCCTTTCATTCATATATTGTCATTGGCTGCTTTCAAGCCACAACAGCAAGTTGTTTTGGAGACTGGTCTGCAAACCTAAAGATATTTACTATCTGGCCTTTTATGAAGAGTTTGCCAAGCCCTGGTTTAAAACTACCAAGTTTAGGATGATTTATTATGCAGCAATAGCTAACTGATACAGTACCTAAACCTCTTCTGGGGTGATCATGAGGATTAAATGATCAATTAGTGGTTAGCATGAAACATGGAGAATATATCTGTCCTCTTGGACGAAAATCAGTGGGAAAAATTGGATTTGAAAACTGGAGAATGTGCCCATTAACCAAAGGGAAAATGACCTGCAACTCATGTTCGACCCTGGCATCCATCAAGCCACACATCAATGATTTTATGTGAAAAGCACCCGAAGACAAGTCACAACTCCCCAGCAAGGCACACGAGACACTTCCTTCCCTTTGTGGTTCCAACTTCCCCATGCCATTTCCCACCACATCTGCTCTGCTGAGCCTCCAGCCATTCTCTCCCAGGCCTCCAGGCCTGGACATAGCTGTGTTGTCCCTTCTGCGTGGAGAGCCCTCCTCCTTCCTTCCCTGCCTGGGGAATTCCCACTCATCCCTCCAGAGTCAGCTCAAAAGGCACCTCCTCCTGAAAGCCCTCTTTGACTTCCCAGATATGAGGATCTCCCAGACCTTTGTACACATTTCTATTCTGACATTCCTTGGGTCACGATATTGTCTCATTAGCCAAATCTTTCTCCCAGACTAGACCTTGAGACACTTCTTTCTTGGAAAACTGGCCACCACTTATTTTCTCTGACTTCTCCCTGCCTAGTAGGCTGCTCAGACATTGTTTGCTAAATGTTTAAAAGAAAGAAAAAAAAAAAAGGTTAGACATGATATTATTTACTCCTTAGGAAACATGTTATTTAACTCAACTCTGTGAATGCTGACAAAATATAAAGTGTTGGTATGTGTTAGCCTGTATTTAAAACTCGGGAAAATGATGTCATGATGCGCCTTGACTTTTTCAGCTGTGGTGGAAACATTTACTTAATGATAAAAGAAATGAGCCTTCAGCAGAAAATGTAACTGGATGAGAACAGTTTGGCTGCACAAAAGCAATACCAAGCAACCAGCCCCTTTTGCCATCGTTCTTGTTTTGTAAAGACAACCTGAAGGGACACCATTTCCAGCTACCGAAGTTCTGTTCTCTCTTCCCAAGAGCTCAGGCCTTCGCTGTCTCTCCCCCGGACTATACTCCGACCCCAGCTCCCCTAGATTGTGGCAGCTGCTTGTAGCCTGGGATGCTCCCCAACCATGGCTCCGGCTGGGTCCATCCCTGTCCTGGCTCAACAGTCTTCCGGGACTCCCCCTGGGAAGGGGGGTCCAAACTCAGGCCCCCAGCTCTTTCACGTTGTCATCTTCCATTCCCCAAGGCAGGCCCACTACAAGAAAGCTCTGGTTTCCAAAAAGACACTCCTTGTTGAGGGTAACATGTACACACACACATAACCACGCACAGGCATGGGGACACACTTTCCTAGGCACACGGACACACACAGCACTGGTACCTAAGTGCACCTGTGGGCTGCAGTCACCCCTTTCTTTGTGCTGAAATGCTGCTTCCATCTCTAGATCCAGCTCAAAGCTGCCTCCTAGGTGAGGACCTTGTTCAATTTCCCAAGACAAAAACCCCGGGAGACAAATGATGAAAACACAGCGTGTTGGTCTCCCCCAGAGGCTGCTGCTGCAGCATTCTGCCCTCCCCTCCTCACTGGCTCGGGCCCTGGGAGATCTCTGGGCACAATGTAAGTGCAGGTGAAAGCTGGCTACATTGAAACCGTCCCTCTTCCACAGGATTAACAGGGAACATGCCCACGACAGGATTCGAGTGGTAGTGGGGGGGGGGGTGACCAGGTATGTGCGCGCTCCAGGCCTTACCTGGGAGAACAGAAGGATGCTGTAGTGTGTACAGAGGGAGGCACAAATATTAGGGAAGCTGGAGGGGGCCTCCAAAGATAAACCATGGTGGGGGTGGCACCAGAGGCACTGAAAGGAGGACCTGTGCACTGACAGTCACTACTCCAGGCCACACAGTAACTCAACTCAGGCCCAAGGTTAAAAACAAACACTGGGCCTGGCAGGCGGGGAGCATTCAACAGCACTATGGGTTCTTGTCCAACTGATAAAAGGAAGCTGGGCCTGAGATTAAGTGGGGTGCTAGAAGTGGGTGTCCCTGGATCCATGGGTGAGGCAGATGGGAGGCTCTGGGGTGCTCAGGGTTGGATCTACAGCATGTCTGGCCTTCAAAAGCTATCAGGCTAAAAACAGTGTGAAAACCAGGCTGCCTCCTGGCTGCCTGACCAGGAGTTGGGGGCTGAGCGCCGGCCCCAGATTAGCAGGCAGCCCCCCCACTCACGGAGCATCGGGAGTCTCTGCATCCCCAAAGCAGCTCCAGCCAGGACACCCAGAGGCCATTGCTGTCTTAGTGGTTCTCAAAGTCCCAGGATCTGCAGGAAAAGATCACCCGGAAGCTCACCGGGGGATGCGTATTCTCAGGCCCCATACCAGGCTTGGTGAACCAAACAGCAGGGGCGTAGGGGTGGGGGCTCCCAGCAATGTGTTTTAACCAGCCCCCCAAGTGAGGGTTTGAGAACCACTGCCTCAGTGACCCTCCCTGGCTGTCTCTCGTCCTCCTCATTAGGAAGAACATTGGGTAGCAATAATTCCTCAGAATCCAGAATGGGACCAGCTTCTCAACATATCAAAGGGCCCAAGTCACAATCTAGTTAGGTGAAACTCAGCCCAGAGATCTTTTCCACAAAATTGTATCTGCTCACATTACTTGGCAGCTAAATCCCTTCACTGGCCCTCACTGTGCTTAACTTACGAGGTCCTTCCTGACCCTCCCCCCTTGCTGCCCCTCTGGGGCCCTGCCCAAATCTCATCTCTCAATTCTAGCAACAGGGACTTTACCTGAAGCTCCCTGAAGCACCAAGCTCTCTTCTGAAGCCAAGAGCAGCACCCCTTCCCCATGATAATGCCCCCCCACCATCCCCCCCACTTCAGTCCCAGGTAACACAAGTCCCCATCGCAGCATTTGCCCAGAGGGGCCGACTTCACCATGAGCAGGGGAGGGCACAAGAAGACCCATGAGAAATAATTGATGGCAGAAGGAAGCAAAGTCTTAAACACACTTGACATTCCAGCTATAAAATATTATCCCTCAGTATTTGAAATAGTCTTTATTGTACTTAAGAAAAAATGTTTACTGAAGTTTTGAAAGCCACAAAAGAAGACCTTAGTGAGCAGGCAGAATGACAAGCAGTGAGAGAGAGAGAGATGGCCACGGAGTTACCAAGGGGGATGCAGGGAGCCCAGCACCTTTGCCTGTGACTCTCCTGATAGCCAAGCCGGGCCTCCCTCACACACACCTCCCGTACTCAGGAACCTTAGGTCCTCCCAGGCCAGCACCTAGCCAAACCCGGGCCTTGCATAAGGCAGCAGGGAGCTTCTTTGATGTCCCATTCATGGTTTAACCACAAGCCCACGATCCCCGAGGCTCACAGAGAAATCTCCCCTTCCCCAAAGCAGCACCTGGTAGTTACTTGCTCCTTGTTATCTAGATGGGGCATCCTGGATGCTTGGGAAGCTGAGTCCATGCTTCTGAGGTGTGTCCCCAAACTGACCCCAGGGGGAGGTGGGACCCAACACAGACTGCCCATGCTGTCTTCAACAGACCCATTGGGGAGGGGATACTCTGGAGACCTGGGGCCTCAGGGGTAGCAAGCCAAGTGGAAAAATTAAAGGGGTGCATCCTCTTATTACTCCCGACAGGAAAACAAAAAAGATCCTTTTCCCAGCACCAGCTGGCAGGTAGGAGCCTGTCTTCCACCTGTCCGGACAGTAGTCCTAAAAGGGACTCAGACTCTATCAGTCTCCCCTGGCCCAGGCAAAAGTTTCTCTTTGGGGGTGTGGGGGACACAAGAGGGACAGCAGCTTGACAGCCATATCAGGACACTGGGCCTCAGATGTAATCAAAACACTGCCTTCCACCAGAAGTGGACAGAACAAGTATTATTTTATGGGTAAAGGAAGGGTGTCACAGGAGTGTGAAAGGGGAGGTGAGGGCCCAGTCTGGCTGTTAATGAACTACCCTGCTTCAAAGAGGGGAGAGGGGGGAGGTGTCAAGATGGCTTGATATATACGGCAGTGGGGTGTCACAAAGTTATTTTCCTCACTCCTGGGACAGTATGGGGGTAGGGGTGGGTCAGGAAGAAAGGTGAGGACTGGAGGGATGGGTCTCCTTCTAGCCAAGCCCACGGGCGGACCCCTCCCGGAAAAGCCAGCTTGAAGGTTTCAAAGGCAGCTCCGGCACAAAAGGCAGCCAGAGTTTGGAAACCTGGCGCAGGGGGTGGGGCAGCGCAGGGCGTTTAGTGGGATTTACACATGCACTTTTAGAGACAGCCGGTCCGGATCTGCCACCTAGAGTGCTGTGTAATACGGGGCGAGTCCCTCCCCAGCGCTGAACCTCAATTTCCCATCTATAGACCAGAGGAAATGCGGGAAACGGGAAAAGGCAAGAGAAAACGCTTTTCAGTCTGTGACGGCTCTGACTTTCTTACTTTACTCCTCGGGGGCGGGAAGGGCTGGCTGCGTGTCTCTTTCTTGGGCAAGGCCGGGCGGGGCTTTTTCGTCAGGTAACTTCCGAAGCGGACACCTGGCTGTGGGTTTAGAGAGGGGACGTTTTGGGAGCAGCGGCAAAACCGAGTGTATCAGGAGGTGGACAACCCAGGGGAAAGCGCGTGCGAGGACGCAGAATCAGGAAGAAGGGTGAGAGCCTTGACCCCAGGGTCCTAGCAAGAAGTTGATATAGGGACTCGAAACCCAGGAGGTGCCTCAGTTTCCCCATGGGCACAGTGGCCCTGGAACCTTGGGTGAGGCCAGGGGGAGCCTTACCTTGTCCTTCTTGCAGGACCCGCTCTCCTCCGCGGCGGAGGGGGCACACTTGTTGAGCAGTTTCTTGCTCCCGCAGGCTGTTGGGCTCCAGGTGCGGCCGCCCAAGCAGGCGCCCCCCGGGGAATCTCCGGCACTGCCCACTGCGCTCTCCACTTTGATGAGGCGGTGCTTGGGGGAGATGTAACGCACCTCGGCCGGCGTGGCCGGGCGCCGCTCGCTGCTGCTTCGGTAGAGATGCGGGGAGCCGGAGGACGAAGACGAAGATGCGGCGGCGCCCGCGCCAGAGGAGGCGCAGCAGCAGCCCGCGGCGCCCGATGCGGACGAGGCGGAGAAGGCGCGCTGGCCTCCGCCCGGCTCCCCGCCGCCGCCGCCGCAGTAGTCTAGGCGGCACATAGCGCGCAGTTTGCGCAGCGACGAGCCGGGCCCGTTGTAGGGGTCCTCAAAGTCGCGCTCCTTCTGTGCGCGGTAGGCGCGGATCAGGTCGCTTGTGCTGCCGCTGTCGTCGGGCAGCGATCCCGACAAGGCCGAGAAACAGGAGGCGGCAGCCGGACCGCAGGAAGCCGAGGCGGCTGTGGGGGCCTGCGGCACGGCCTGGGGGGGCTGCGAGGGCCGCTCGCCCCGGCGCCGCTGTTCGCGGTAGTCGGGCCGCGGCGGCTGCGGGGGGCTCTTGGTCTTGCTGTTGCCCAAGCTGAAGTACTTGTTCAGCCACTTGGCCATGTCGACAGGCCGCCTAGGGCCGCGGCGCGGGAGCCAGGTCCGCCGCCGCGGCCATTCGGGGGGCACTGCTGCCGCCCAGGTCCCTCGGCGCCCCGGCCCCGGCGGGGGGCGTCCGGGGCGCCTGCTCCCGACGCCAAGTTCAAGTTCTCTCCGCCGCCTCCTGCCGGCTGCTCCCGGGCTCCAGCAGCTGCAGCACCACCCTCCGCCTCCGCCGCGCGCCGCCGGGGCTTCGGATCTCGCGCCCCTCGCGGACGAGTCTCATGGGATCCCGGCCCACGGCCCCGCTGAGAGCGAAAGGCCCGGGCACCCCGCCTCTCCGCTTCGGACGCTCTGCGCTCCGCTGCGGAGAGCGCTGCTGCCCGTCGGAGGCGCAGTCTCTGCCTTGGCCGGGATCTCTGGCTGATCGGCGAACTTGTCGGCGTTCGCGGCCTCCCCTTCTTCCTCTCCGAAAGGGCTGGGGCGATCCCGGACCCGCAGCCGGAAAGCCAGCGACTGAGGGAAGCAGCCGGCGCCCGCCCGAGCCCGCGCGCCCGTGCCCGTCCCGGCGGCGCCTGCCGCTACCGCTGCCGCCGCCTCCCGAACCGCCGCGTGTGTGACACTCTGGCCGCCAGAGCCCGCCCCGCGCCGCGGCCCCGCCCTCCCGGGGCCCGCGCGCGCCCCGCCCCCAGCCCGCCCCAGCAGGCCCCGCCCCGCCCACCTCCGGGAGCCCGGCCGCGGGACTTGGTCCAAGCCCCGCCCTCCTTGCGCCCCTGTCTTCCGCAGGCGCACCTCTGCCCCTCAGCACGCGCCACCTCCTGCGGCCTCCTCGGCGCCAGCAGCGGGGTTGTGCCGGAGGGCGCCGGGGTCCTGCGGTGCCACCAGCCCCGCCTCGTTCGCCGCCCGCTGCCGCCTAAGGCGAGAGGTAGCCAACCTGAGCCTGCAGCGCTCAGACACTAAACCTGCCCTTATCCCCAGGGACCCTAGCGCTGTTTACCCCAGGGATCCCCACTGTTGGGTGGGTTGCAAAGGTGGATTAACTGGGACATTTCTAGTTTACAGCGTGATTCTCGAGGAGGAAATGAGGTGCAGGGACCCCTTGGTGACTGGGTGCCTATATCTTTCTTAAAAGAAGGGAGACTGCGCGTTTCAGCCCTGGTGTGTCAGATCTTCAGAGGAGTCTTTAAGCTAATTAGGATATTAGCAATCCAGACGACCACGCGGCCAGGATAGGTGGCTGGTGCCCTGCTCTGCACCAATCCAAGTGCCAGGCTAAGGAGAAGTCGGCATGTTAGCTTACCTTCTCACCTCTGAGGAAGTCGTGCTTTTAACCCCGTTCAGGGACAACCTGGCACAGGGAGCTGTGGGAATATTTCATGTCCAAGATTGTAGGAGTTGACAAGGCTCCATTTAATCCAGGGCACTCATTTTGCCGATGGAGAAACTGAGGCCCAGAGAAGGCCTGGGCGCCAGTTTTCCAGTCTCCTGGCTGTAAAATGATGTTATTTCCATTAGTCTGTACCTGGCAACTTGAGGTCGTCCTTTAATTATTAACCAAAAATGAGGAAACTGAGGCAGGGGGAGGGGCCAGCTTGTTTTCCTGGCTGCAGCATGCTCCCAGTAAAGGCCGGAATTGCACGGCCATGGTCTAGGTGACTGCCACTAGAGCTGGAGCTCCTTTGAATTTGACTGGGCAAGCCCCAGAATATGGCTTACCTTAGGTGTGAGAACTGAAACCTGAGAAATTCTCTAAGAAGTCTGATTTACTAGGATGATAACCCAAATTTTTAATAATCTTTATCTGCTACCTGTATATTATAGATGAGTTTTGCGAGAGTCTATTTTTTTCTGGTAGGCTGCAAGGCCAGAGGCTCTTTTGGCCAGGACACAGCACTGGCCACACTAGAGCTGGAAGTCAGACTCTCAGTCTGAGACTCTTGGACAGGGAGGGGCCTACAGCTGTTGACTCTTCCTCTGCCTGAGGCCACTGTTGCAAAGTTGCAGAACCAGGACTTCAAGTTGGGTCTTACTCTGCAGCCTGTACTCTGTCCACTCAGCCCCACGTAGTAATGCCATCGAATTGACTGCAAATTGTCACTTCAGGATCAAGTTATTTGCTCCTTCCCTCTGTGGTCAGAGAGCAGTCATTTTCTATGAGCCAGTTAAATTTTTCCAAATCACACAATCACACACCATCACCAACTACACAACCCCTTCCCTGGTGTGTGTGTGTGTGTGTGTGTGTGTGTGAGAGAGAGAGAGAGAGAGAGAGAGACAGAAAGTGTCTAGGGGATGGTGGGAGGACCCAGAAGTTGACCTGGGCTAAAATGTTTATTTTGGGTATCCCTAGACTTAAATATCTCAAATTACACTTAAAGTCATTCCTCTGCTGGGGAAGCACTTAATTATCCTGCAAGTAAGGGGACCCCAAAAGAAAAACTGAAGGACATCCTCATTAAAGCCCCACCTTTCAACCAACCACAAATCTTCTCTGGCTCCCTCCCTTCCCATCTCTGCTCAGGAAGGAAGATCAGCCAGATCCTGGCGATAGGCCAAGTGACCCCAGACAAGAAACTCCTCTCCAGGATCTGGAAATTTGTTCCCTGCATGTGGGTTGCACATGGAAGCGTTGTCTCTGCCTTTTTCAAAGGTTTAGGAAGAGAAGTTATATTTCACAACTTATTTTTTTCATTTCACTTTCAGCAGGCCATGGGGTCAGACTCACTTTTCCATGTGATACCTCTGCTGGGGTGTAATTTGCAAGCCAAAATTATTGTAATGCTATAGTATTATGCCAAGAACTTCCAGCACAGTTGTATATCTGCTCAACCCCTACACAGTCTGTATTTTATTAACCCTACTCAGCCTTCCAGCAATCTGGTGTTATTCCCAGTTTACAGATGGGCTAACTGGCCTAAGGTGGTACTTACTTTAAGCAGGCAGAAAAAAAAAAAACAACCAACCAACCAAACACATGGGTGTTTTTCTCTGGGAACTAGTACAGACACATCTTACAAGACTCGGAGTCAGAGAATCGTTGTGAAAGGAAGCAGGAAAGTTTCCTAAGGATGACTTTGGAGAAGCAGTGTGTCAGGTGGTTAGAGGAGACAGGGTCTTGCAGGAAGAGGATCAGAGGGAGCGCCGTGAGGCCTGCAGTTGGACAGGCTCTCTTTGCAGAGAGCTGGCCTTTCCATTTCCAGAGGGAAAAGGGGGAGCAATGAAGGGAAGAGATTGACTCAGGAGGCACAGCTGGGAGTGGCACCCACTCTCTTTACATTGTTTTAAAGATGTATTATTTATTTTTAGAGAGGGGGAAGGGAGGGAGAAAGAGAGGGAGAGAAACATCAATGTGCAATTGCCTCTCATGGCACACTGCCCCCCAGTGGGGACCTGCCCCACAACCCAGGCATATGCCCTGACTGGGAATTGAACCAGTGACCCTTTGGTGCACAGACCAGCGCTCAATCCACTGAGCCACACCAGCCAGGGTGCGTCTAGTCTCTTGACAGCCCAACGCTGTGCCTGTCATTCTTCACATTTTTCACTTTTGTGTCCCCTCCCACCCCCATTCTCCTCTCCCTGATTTTCTTATTAGAAGGATTGGTTGTGGCCCTCTTTCATTTTCTGCCTTCTCTCAACCTCTCGCATAGACCAAGATGGGGACATGGCAGCCCTGTTCTCTGTATCTCCTTCCAAAATCTGGAGGTAGGCTGTACATTGGTGGAGGCCTGGAAAAAATTGTGCCACCAACCAAACGGGCTCACTAACTTTCTTCATTTTAGTCCATCACATGTTAACCCCTGCTGCGTGCCAGGCCCCAGGGCAGGAGTCTGGGTCAGAAGAGTCGATTTGGAAGTCATCAGTGCTCAGTGAGGGTCTGAAGCAAAACCGTCCAGTCATCACTGACACCTGCTCCCATTCCCACTCCATCCTTCCCATCAGCAAGGAATATGCAGAGTCCTGCCACCTCCCACACCTCAGCTGCTTCCACCTGTCCTTCGTCTGTTGCCTGGATCATGGAAAGTGTCTCTTACCCATTTCTCCGCTTCTGTCTCAGTTGCCAGTGATCCTATTAAAAAGAATCCATTTATGGCTTTCTGCTCAAACCCCCCGTTAAATGCTCATTTCCCCAATACTATATGCCCACGTCCTCACCACAGCTCATACATAAGGCCTTATGTGCTCTAGTCTCCTTAAATTCCTGACCCCACCATCTCCTGTCTTTTTTCCTGCTCTACCCAGGCCACCTCTTCTGTTGCCTGAACACTGTCTCCCTCTGGGGCCTTTGCACTGCATCTCCTTGCCTAGAATGCTTTCCCCCAGCTGTCTGTCTCTGTGACTCACCCTTCAGTCCCTTCAGGTCTTATTTCAGTGTCACTGCCCAGAGAAGCCTCCCCTGGGCAACAAATCTAGAAGTGTTGTCCCCACTCAACAATTAGTCTCACTCCGCCCATTTCACGCGCCACATAGTTTACTTATTTTTCCTGTTTATTCTTTGTCTTGCCCCGCAGTGGGAAAGGGGTTTTTCCTCTTTGTTGACTGCCTATCGCCAGCATCCGCCAGAACGGTGGCGGACACCTAGGGAGGGACTGTGAATGTGAGTGGTGGGTCACGCAGGGCAGGAGGGCAGAGGGTGGAGCCTGACGTTTCTGTCCGCCTTGGAGCAGGTGCTAGTGGCAGCTCGCTGTGGTCTGGGGGTGGGAGCATGTCAGACTTGCTGTGTTCCCAGACCGTGTCCCAAGCAGAGAAGGCAGAATGAGATTCTTCCCCATCTTCCTGGCATCCAGAGAGGGCCCCAGGAGGGTTGTGGCATCCAGGTAGCCTTTTCCACACAAGTCCCAGTCACGCTGACCTGCAGGCTGTCCCCGGTGTTGCTGAGACAGCTGTTGTTCCCTTCAACTCAGGTACAGCTAATCTTCGGAATCTTAGTGCTGGCCGGAAGCTAATCCTCTGTATCTAGATTAAAGGCTGTGTTTTGACCATTACGGCGCATTCAGCATTGAGCCGACAGTTTAATTGAGCTGTTTATGCCGCTGCCTTGATCTCTTCCCAGAGAATTTACAACTAATTCCGAGTGTCTCTGTGAATTAAGTGGGCCTCTCCCAACATGCTTTGCC